ACTTCCTTGGTTAGGTGTATTCCTAGGTATTTTGTTCTTTTTGATGCTATTGTGAATGCAATTGTTTTCCTGATTTGTCTTTCTGTAAGTTCATTGTTAGTGTATAGGAAAGCTACAGATTTCTGTGTGTTAATTTTGTATCCTGCAACTTTGCTGAATTCCAATATTAGTTCTAGTAGTTTTACAGTGGAGTCTTTAGGGTTTTTAATGTACAATATCATGTCATCTGCAAATAGTGACAGTTTGACTTCTTCTTTACCAATCTGGATTCCTTCTATTTCTTTGTTTTGTCTGATTGTCATGGCTAGAACTTCCAGTACCACGTTGAATAACAGTGGGGAGAGTGGGCATCCCTGTCTTGTTTCCAATCTCAGAGGAAAAGGTTTCAGCCTCTTGCTGTTCAGTATGATGCTAGCTGTGGGTTTATCATATATGGCCTATTATTATTTGAGGTACTTGCCCTCTATGCCCATTTTGTTGAGTTTTTATCATGATGTTGAATTTTGTCGAATGCTTTTTCACCATCTATGGAGATGATCATGTGGTTTTTGTCCTTTTTGTTGATGTGGTGGATGATGTTGATGGATTTTCGAATGTTGTACCATCCTTGCATCCCTGGGATGAATCCCACTTGGTCATGGTGCATGATCCTCTTGATGTATTTTTGAATTCGGTTTGCTAATATTTTGTTGAGTATTTATACAACTACGTTCATCAGGGATATTGGTCTGTAGTTTTCTTTTTTGGTGGGGTCTTTGCCTGATTTTGGTATTAGGGTGATGTTGGCTTCATAGAATGAGTTTGGGAGTATTCCCTCCTCTTCTATTTTTTGGAAAACTTTAAGGAGAATGGGTGTTAGAGCTGTCTATCCTTTTACTTTATGTATAAATAAAAGCCTCCCTTTAGCTCTCCTATCTTGACTGTTTGCTAAATTCATTCTTCTACTCCACAAACAAGAACCTCAGCATCATTTTTTGGGACTCGTCCAGGATAACTTTGGAGGTGAGTATCAGCATTCAAGCTTGCCTTTTATTTTACTGTCCTTATAGAAGGAATGGCACACAACATTGGGTGCTCATCAGCCATATAAATGGAGTAGCCCAGCTGCTGTTCTCAAAATCTCAAACAGCAGGTTCCCCTGTGTCTCCCTCAGTGGATCCCCCATCTTCCTTGGGAGCCGGAAAAGACACCTGAGAGGAGGCCAGGATTCCCTTTCAGAGGCATCTCCTTGGATGCAATGGACTGAGGAAAGCCATGGGCAACTGCAAGAGTCTAGGCTGAGGCTTACGCTTTAGCGGCTTCTCAAAGGTCTGAGTATCTGGAATCAGACCCTGACAACCCAACAGGGTATCCAGGAGGAGTGATTCTCTATCTCTGACTTCCAGCCTGCTTCTTCAGGCTTCCCCGGCCTCTGAGTGAGGCAGGGGATATTCCTCTCTTCTAACATCATCAGTGTCACGGAACCTGATGCCCACCACTGCAAGGTAGGAGATCCACACTTTCCTCTTATTCCTGACTAAATGCTATACTCTTTATCTCATAAAATGTGTCTGGGCATCCGTTGGGCTACCTAAAAGATGATTAGCATTGGCTACCAGTGTTAAGTCTCTGATTAGAAAGGCCTGGCCCCTGAGAGAAGTATACAAGGTTATGCAGCTAAATATATTTTGATGCAGAGAAGGGAAATCATCAAAAATCCCATAGACTACAATATGGAACTAGTTTTCTAAATTATTTTGGTGGAAATCTACTTACTGAGTTCATCACTATTTTCAAAATTTCGGAGGTTTTTAAACTAGACTCCCTGAAATGGAAGAAATTCGTCTTCTGCAATACAGCCTGGCTTTAAATAACTGGTGCTAGAATTGTACTTGCATTTCATTTCCAGCCCCCTAGACACACACAGTTCCTATCAGTAAAGAGCCTTCATCAGCCCTGTACATCTGGGGCCATCTAAAACTTAACCCACTTATGTAAACTGCTCGCCCTTAGAATGTGTTCTTGAAAACTAAGATACTTTTAGTCAAATAAGCTAAAAAGAAAAATAGCAATTGAATATAAGGGACTCAAATCTTTGTATCAGTTCATCTGTGTATGTGTTCTTTTATGAAAAGTGTTGCTAACTATAGTCATTACATCTCAATCTCTGTGTCTAAGTGTGTAAATGAAAAATATTTTTCTACCTCTGAATGGTATTAATAAGAATTAATTGATTTAAAACCAAGCGCTTGTAAAAATTAGACATTCTAAAACTTCCAGATAATAATAAGATATTAAGCATTAATGCTAATTTAAGTTAAACTGAAATGGACATGTCCTTATGGTTATTAGCTGCCTAAGTTTACCTAAAGTCATTTAAGTTGATGTTATCTGTTAAATCTTTCAAGAAAAAAATGCTTAAAAAGACGCTTGACTTTGTCTAATGTTTGGTAAAAGTTTTGTGAGCATGGGTGTTAGGAATGAATAAACTAAATAAGTGTAGCAAGTAAACGTCTTAATAATTGTGTGTTACAGTGTGTATACCTATCAACAGCCTGGGAATCTTTGTGGTAACCAAAAATCTTACAGTTTTGCTAAGTTAGGTAGACATATTTTGTGCTTAGAGACTGTGCTGTAAAGCAGTCGGTTCCAGGAATTATAAAGTGTTCATAAATTTGTCAATCTAAAGAATGCTAGTGTAAATTTACAACAGCCTATCTCTCAGTGTTCACTGAAAATTAAAGTTCCTAATGGTTTTAAGTTCCAATTAAAGCTACTTAAAATAAGGAAAACATTTTTTTCCTGCATGCTAAAGAATGTGTCTTTTGATAAAAGAAAGTAGCTTAGTTCTAAAGTACAGCTGTTTATTTAAAGAGGAAGAACTCTTAAATGTAAAAAAACTTGTAGAAACTTTGTGGAAGAATTGATAGGGTCATTCTATGTAAAATTAAAGCAAATGAGTCTTGATATCAAGTACACAGCAAATTAGAATTTTGTTTTCAGTTAGGACAAAGTTTTCTTAAACGGTTAATCTGCTCTTAATGTTGAAAAATTGCAAGAGGTTTTCTAATTGTTTTATCAAAGCAGTTTCTCATGCTTAAATTCTCAGTGAGTCGTCTGAGTATTTAAGAAAATGAGATCTTAATATTAAAAGGACTAAAAGCTAAGCTTTGCTGTGTAACCTTCTGTATTTGCCTTTGAGGTATTTTGTTGTCATTCTGGTTAAATGGGTAAGTATTGCTTCATGGCAAATTATAATCTTATTTAAGCAAATGCCAAAGAAACTTTCTTCTGACAACTTCCCAAGATCAAATTGAAAAAGTGCTTTTACCTCTAGTTAACTCTGATATTTTCCAAAGGGCCCCTGGAACATGTCAGAGGAATTTTTTCTCATTAGGGAAAGTACTTGGCTAATTTGTCTTATTTATCTGATACATAATCCTGCTTAATTACCTGGAAAGCACTGTCAAAGGGAATGGACTAAACTTTGTTACTAAACGTATTCTGTTACAGAAATATCCAAATTTCCGTATGTCAACTGTCTTATTGTAAGGTCTCATGAGATCTTTGGCCATTTTCACTTGTAAGTCTTTTGTCATTTATAGTCACTGTTTTATAACTCCTAAACTAGTAAAGAGCTAGATTTCAGCAGAACAGGTATTGGTTACATGGGACTAAGTAAACTAAGGAAGGTCACTTCCTGGCAGGTTGCAGGAACCTCAAAATGTCCCAGGGACCTCAAGCAGAGAGGAATTCACCCAAATCTACAGGTACTGCAGGCAAAACCTGATGTCAAATCTGGCTTGGCTTTCTGGCCTCAAGAAGCCTTTAAAAGTCCAATCTGAAATTCCTTATAAAAAGTTCCAGCAAAGCACATTTAAAAGATCCTGTGTAATCAATAGCTCTTCTTGCTGCACTTATGCAAATAATCAAGCTAAGTGTTAATTATTTTCTTAATCTGGTTACTTCTAACAAAAATGATGGTGATTTTAGAGAACACCATTGTTTCAATAATGCAGCCTCGTCTACACTGAATCCTAATTCTAGTCATTGGGACATAGATTAAACCCAGAATTCTAGTTTCCCCAAAATATCTGGCTATGATTCTCCAAATGTTTGTTTTCGCCCATCATTTCATTTAAAGTTTTACTATTCCAGCCATGCATTCTTAATCTCATCAAGTTTGTCCTTCCAGAATGGAAAATCCAACTCCAGATGTTGCTAATTAACCTAATAACACAATTTGTTCTATTTTGCCTAGAAGCCATAAAACTGGAAATAGTAATAGAAATGGAACCCAAGATAGAAGCACCAATCTTTCAAGGCCCTCTCGACTGACCACTGATGGAGACCTAACTGCACCCCTGACTGCATCCCCTCTCAGCATGAAGTGTTGGATTCCCCTGAGGAAGGCACCGCCCCAAATCACTCACCAAAGACGTTTCTTGATGCAACAAGCAAGAGGAATTTATTCGGAAGCCAACTAGTTGGGGTCCAAGTCAGCCTGTCGCAGCAGGTCTCAACGAGGACCCTGAGTACTTACAACTAAGTGGTTATATAGGATTTTCTGAGGCATTTAGCCCTAGAGATTTACCATGGTTACAGATTATGTTGTAGTAACAAGATAACAATACTACATAGCAAGATAACAATACTACAAAGGCAGTAATTTTTCAAACCTACGATTTCTGAGTTGGTGCCACGTCCTGGGGGTGTAGCAAGGTAGGGTCAGCTTTTATGTTTAACTAACCGAAAGGTTAGCGCTGCCAGCAGTCATGATTGATTAACTTGTTTTTCCAGAGGAGTTACCTGGTTTCAGTTGTTCCCTCTGAGTCATATATCAGAATGGCTTTTTGGGCTTCAAGATGGCTACTCTTAGGCTAACTTATTTCTCAGGGAGGTTGGGGTCCTACATTCCCCACTTCTTTTTCTGAACATTCTAATCATGGAATGTTGGTTTCTTCTTGATGTGTGAGGGTATGATACTGTTGTCTCAGCATTAGCACCTGCACAGCACTTACTCTTTCTCTAATAAAGGTTATTACTCGATTTAAAATGCAGGGACCTAAGGTGAGGAGCAATATAAAAATAAGCAGGGGTCCTGTCAAGGTGGATATTAGAGTTGTAAGCCATGGGGATCTAGAGAACCAGGATTCAAACAGGCTCTGGTTAGCTTCTCGTTCTCGCTTTCGCTGATCTAATCTTTCTCTTAATTTAGACATTGAGTCTCTTACTACTCCAGTATGGTCTGCATAGAAGCAGCACTCTTCCTTTAGAGCTGCACACAATCTACTTTCTTTTAGAAATAGTAAATCTAACTCTCGTCTATTTTGCAGCACTACTTCAGAGAGAGGTTAGGGACTTTTCAAGTTTAGAAATAGACTGTTCTATAGTTCTCAAATCTTCACCGATAGCTATTCTTAGTCCTTCGTAATGTTGGTTTCTTTGTATAATTGCAGCTGCCCCTGGTCCTACTCCGGCTGCGACTCCTACTCTTAGTAATACAGCTAGAGTGAGTGAGACTGGCTCTCTTTTATACCTTAGTTTAGGTTCTAATTCTGCCACGAATGATAAGTCATCATGATACATTAGTCTGGGTACTAACTGGACCATGATACAGAAATCACGGGAGGAGTTGAAGGCAGAAGTAGAGACACATGGGGTCACTCCAGTGTTACAAGCCCACCATCCCTTGGGAGGAGGGATTAAATACCTGTTTTTACCAGGGAAGGCTATGGGTATGGTCTCATTCTTTCTTCTACAGATAGAGACTCTAGCTGCTGCTAGGGAAAAGGGGCGATGACCGCTCTGGCTGCTTCGTGCTGAGAAGGGGGCGCAGTAAAGGGTGCAGCTAGGTCTCCATCACTGGTCAGTTGAGAGGGCTTCAGAAGGCTGGCGCTTCTATTCTGGGTTTCATTTTTATTACTATTTGCAGTTTTGTGGCTTCTAGGCAAGATAAAACAAATTGTGTTATTAGGTTATGTAGCAACATCTGGAGTTGGATTTTTTATTCTGGAAGGAGGCTACATTATTGAAACGATACTTCTCTCTAAAATCACTCTCATTTTTACTAGAAGTAACTAGGTTAAGAAAATAATTAACAGCTGGCTTGATTATTTGCACAGGTGCAGCAAGAAGAGCAATTGATTACACAGGCTCTTTTAAATATGCTTTGCTGGAACTTTTTGTAAGGAATTTCAGATTGAACTTTTAAAGGCCTCTTGAGGCCAGACAGCCAAGCCAGACTTGCCATCAGGCTTTGCCTGCAGTACCTGTAGATTTGGATGAATTCTTCTCTTCTCGAGGTCTCTGCACCTGCCAGGAAGTGACCTTCTTTACTCACCTGGTAAGGCTGCTGGGAACTCTGTAAGCAAGGTACTAGGCCAGTTCTTCCAAGGGGCTTTGTTGGCTTTATAAAGTCAATCTTAGTTCTTTAAAGTTGTTCACATCTGAGTCTATGCACATGTCTCTCAGGTACGACATTCCAGTCAAAGCCCTGGTAGTATAACCAGTGTTCTTAAGTAGTCTTCTCACAAGGAAAGCAGATTCTTATTGAACTCGTGCAAATAAACATACTGCCATGGAATACAAAAACAGTCACTGAAAGTTTTTAAACTCTGGAGGGATCAAGTAGAGAGAAGGATGTTTCAATTCTGCTCATAAAGATAGTCATTTACTAAACTGTTGTCAGTTTAAGAGAACAAGGTTAAAACACTTTACCAGCAACATTTGAAACAAAAAGACACAAAATCATTTTCTTTAGTTTATGTAATCTTATGTAACTAATACCTGTTCTGCTGAAATCTAGTTCTTTACCAGTTTAGGGATAATACTATAAATGACAAAAGACTTACAAATGACAATGGTTAAAGATCTGATGAGAGCTTACTGTAAAACAGTTGACATAAGGAAATTCTGATATTTCTGTAATACAAAACATTCAGTAACAAAGTTTAGCATCATTCTCTTTGACAGTGCTTTCCTGGTAAATAAATATATATATATCAGATAAATAAGCCAAATTAGTCAAATACTTTCTCTAGTGAGAAAAAATTCTTCTGACATGTTCCAGGGGCCCTCTGGAAAATATCAGAGTTAACTAGAGGTAAAAGCACCTTTTTGCATTTAATTTTTTTAGAACTATCATTACACATTTATTGTCTATATACTCAGCACAGTAAACGAGATATCTTAAAAAGTGGGGCAGCAGGGGAGACTGCTGCTGTCAATTTTTAAAGACAACATACAGAAAGTCAAACTAATTCTAGGTTACTAAGCATTCTTGAGAGAATGGTAGCAGATGGTAGATTCTTCTGCTTTCATCTTCAGGAGGGGAAAAAAGCTACAATAAGAATTCATATTTAGCTGAAAGAACTGTCTAAACTCAAGGCAGAGTATAATATCACCAGGCATACAAAAGACCTGTTAGAGATACATACAAAGAATGAATATGGCTATAGTCAAATTCAACTTAAAAGTTTAAGCAGAATCTCAAATTTAAATGTCTCTTTCTTTCACACAGATATTCAGATATGACCAGAAATATGATTTGAGATGAAAGAGATCAGGCATTTTACTTCTTCATTTAGGGACTGAGAAATGATGACCTTTGGCTTACAATCAATAGCTTACAAACAGTGAAAATAATAAGAACATAACTCAGCATAAGTGTCTAAGACCAGATACAAAAAAGCAGAGAAAGTGCTTAAGTTTACAGGTCTTCCCTGAAAGCTTCAAGAATGTTTTACTCTTTAATAGTAGATATAAGCTGCTATGCAAATTCTATTAAAAGCTCTAAGATTATTTGCATTAAAAAATATGGAGAGTCCCCCATGTTTTTTTTTTAAAACATACAGCATATAAATTAAACAAGAAGACCTGGTGGTTCTCAAAAAATCTATTACAACTTTTCTCAAAAGTGGTCACACGTTCGTCTATCTAAACCTTTACAGTGAAACCTGTTTTTCTGGGAGAAACATAATCTTGTCCAGATTCTACAGTTTAATAAATTTTGGTTTGTTAACTAAGTGCATTTAATCAGCTGAAAAAAGCTTTGTTACTATTCTGCTTAGGAATTCAATTTTTCAGGCCATGCAATCATTTTTAATAACAAAATATTTCAAAGGCAAATAAAGGTTATACAGTTGTTAACAAACTTTAGCTTTTAGTCCCTTTAACATTACGATTTCATGGCAACTCACTGAGACTTTAAGCATGAGAAACTGCTGTGATCTTTCAACATAGAGAAATGCCCTCTCTATCACTTTAAGCAGTTCTAACCAGAACTCAAAACTATTAGAAACTTCAAGCTCCAGTGAACACTGAGAAGCAGGACACTGCAAACTGTCAAACCAACATTTCCTAGACTGACAAACTTACGAACACATTCTACAATTTCTGCAACCATGAGCTTCACAGCACAATCTCCCAGCAAACACAGAGCACATCTTCTCAACTTAACAAAACTCTAAGGCTTTAAGTTACTACAAAGATTCTCAGGCTGCAGGTAGGCATACACACTGCAACACACAATTAAAAAGGTGTTCACTTGCCACACTTATCCAGTTCACCTACCTGCAACAACTATGCTAGCCTACTCACAAGACCCCCACTGAACACTAGACAAAGCCAAGCTTCTAAGCATTCTATTCTTAAAAGATTTAGCAGATAACATGACTCAAATGACTCTAGGTAAACTCAGGCAGCCGACAACTACCAGGACATGCCCGCCTCAGGCAAACTCAAATTAGCATTAATGCTTAACACTTTTTTACCAGGTTTTCTGGAAGTTTTAGAACACTCAATTTTCACAAGCGCTTGTCTTTAAATCAATTTCATTAATACCATCCGGAGGTAGAAAGATATATTCATTTACACACTTAGGGGGTTGTCTGAGTCTGTCCCATTGTCAGTATAACAATTATTAGGCACATGAAAGACACAAAAAACAGAGACACACACAGATTAGACACACAGCGGCCGCTTTTTGTTTTTTCTCAGATTTTCAAACAGAAACCGAAAGGAATCAGAGGGTTGATATTCCTGGCGCCTGAAAATCAACCCTATCTCATCAGATTCACCTTGCCAGAAAAACAGACGGGAGGCTACCAGGCGTCCCTGGCCTCCCAACCTCCCCGAGGCGTCCCTCAGGGTTGCAGCCTGCGGTGCTCCTAGTACGTCTACCGACCGCAGTCTCGACCCCTTTACGGGATCGGGACAGCTGCCAGACAGTGGGTACCCCTTTTCAGAATTCTGACCGGTCTCACTGAAAAACAGAAGACAGAACACAGACAACTCAAGGCGCCACTAATCTTACCTCTTCCTCCAAGAGCGACTTCGGGAGTGAAGCGGGGTGAACGCATGATCCCGGACGAGCCCCCAAATGTTGGATTCCCCTGAGGAAGGCGCCGCCCCAAATCACTCACCAAAGACGTTTCTTGATGCAACAAGCAAGAGGAATTTATTCGGAAGCCAACTAGTTGGGGTCCAAGTCAGCCCGTCGCAGCAGGTCTCAACGAGGACCCTGAGTACTTACAACTAAGTGGTTATATAGGATTTTCTGAGGCATTCAGCCCTAGAGAATTACCATGGTTACAGATTATGTTGTAGTAACAAGATAACAATACTACATAGCAAGATAACAATACTACAAAGGCAGTAATTTTTCAAACCTACGATTTCTGGGTTAGTGCCACGTCCTGGGGGTGTAGCAAGGTAGGGTCAGCTTTTATGCTTAACTAACCGAAAGGTTAGCGCTGCCAGCAGTCATGATTGATTAACTTGTTTTTCCAGAGGAGTTACCTGGTTTCAGTTGTTCCCTCTGAGTCATATATCAGAATGGCTTTTTGGGCTTCAAGATGGCTACTCTTAGGCTAACTTATTTCTCAGGGAGGTTGGGGTCCTACAGAAGCAGCCATAGCGGTCATCGCCCCCTTCCCCTAGCAGCAGCTAGGGTCTCCATTTGTAGAGGGGGGAATGAGACAGGGACCTTGGGTGTAGTCAGAGTAGGGTGAGGGCGTCTGGAAACAGCAAGGCAGGATACTGTAAGATAAATTCCAATAAATTTCGACCGAAGCAGGCGGAGAGGTAACAAAGGGCCAGGTAGTTTATTTGAATGCCACCCCTGGGTGATGTTCCCACGGCCTGGGTACTACAGGCCAGAGAAGTCACACCCAGCAGAGTAGGCAGCAAGTTTTTAAAGAAGGCAGGGGGAGGGAGAGCA